GGTTTTGCTTGACTTTGCATTGTATTGCAGGTGGTCCTCAGGATATTTTCTTACCGTTGCAGGAATACCTATACAAAGAGTGCAAATCCAGCAGTGTGTGGACACCTGTAGCAGTAGGGAGTTATGGTGTTATAAACCATATTGGGTGTTAAACCATATCACGTGCTGCTTTCTGTCCTCTCTGGTCTGCTAAAAGCAACTCCCGTGCTCCCAATAATGATGGGTGGCTTTTCTTTTCTTCTTTTGCAGAAGTCAGAGGGCCACACCTCTCCCACATGATGGACAGCCAAATGAAATGTCTCAGGCTCCAGTGCTTATTTCCTGCGCTGACCAGTGAAGCTCCACTTTATTGTAAAACATTGTGCTTTACCTAATATCCTAGCCTTGTCTTTACCAAGGGAAGCTAGTCAGTCCATGTGATGGAAACTATAGACTGCAAGCAAGTGCTTATTGCTCTGAGTGGCCCAGAATTCACTGGAAGCCAGACATTAGCAACCTGGGCCAGGTCCTCAAATCGGAACCCAGTGTGTAGGAGGGTGATATTATTTGTCTATTAATGAAGAGAAATGGAATGATCCCAGAGCTTGCTTTCTATTGAAGGCTTTTAAACAGTAAATAGGTGGTTGATGTGAAGAAGGCTGCCTTTACTGTTAGCTCACACAGCATCTCTTTTACCAACCAGAGAGTATGGCAACTAGTTTCATATAATACCTAGTTCAATGAAAAAAAAAAAAAAAAAAAAAAAACAACAACAACGAAAACACTGACGCACTGCACTAGTTATTATTAGATATTCTTAGTCATTTTTGTACATGAAGATTTAAGTTCTAAGATGGTTTATATTAATAGGTTATGCCTACGTTTATATTGTAGAATGAATTTAAAACCTGTTCCAGAGAACTCAAGGCAGCCTGGACAGATGTACCATTGTTAGCGGTGTTTGGGCAGCCACGTGGTCCAGATGTTCTGCACTTTTATATTCGCCACCAGAGTGGTAGAGTTTACTGGCAAAAATTCTGACAGGCTATGTTTGGGTTTTGTTTCTTTTTAATTTAGCTTTGAATAACCAGGATGATGTGCATTAGAAAAAGGAGTGGTGTATGGAAAAGAAAAATACTGCAGATAATTGACTTGTCTTTTATGCCTTGGAGGGTTCCTTTATTTTTGCATAGATATCTGAGTGACTTGGTGAAACTTTCCTGTAAACAAAAAGTTCTGCAAATATGTTTTTCAAAAGTGACCTTAGTATTATTTCACCATTCTGAAGAACCTAAAAGCATGACTTTTCAATATACATGTACACTGATACGCGTACCTTTTACATTTTGCAAACACTGGCGTTGTTGTAGTTACTATGCACAGTCTCAGTCGGCTTCAGAGTTTTTCTAAAGGGCCAATTACAGTTTGTGTTGGTCAAGGGGCAAGTGTTACGCAGATAAACTACAACTGAAGAATAATGTTTGACGGAATTCAGACTACCAAACAGATCCATCTGCCAGTTTCTGTCTTTGCTTATGTTGAATTTTTGTGGTTTGCTCTCATAAATACATCCCAAAAGCCAGGCTGAGTGTATCACTTGGCCTGTTACCTTCACTATTTTGACTTACACTATTGTATAACCAAGCATTGATTCCTACCAACAGATGCAAAACGATCACTAGTAACTAAACTAAAGCTACAAATTCAACAGGGTACTTCTTCAATAGCACAAGATGTTTCCCTACTTTTTGCATTGTAGCACAACAATTTACCAAATTGGACTCCAGCAATAATTTTCTATTAGTCTTCGTCATACTGGCTGAATTTTTGATAGTATTAGATTGAGTTTGAAGTTCTTTGAATTAAGTCTTTAAAAGATGCGAGTTTACATCATTCTATCAGGCATTCTTATTTATACTTGACTGAATTGATAATGTGTTTTGGGGTTATTTTGTAACTAATTTGATGTAATAGCCATATGGACAGTAACTCTATTAATGCTTGCTAGGTTTAGCCTTTCATTGTTGTAGTTAAGTGAAAGTCTTTGGTTCATTGTTGGGAAACAACACACAACATACCACACAAGTTGGAACAAAGGATTAAAGGTTTGACATAGGGCGGACAGCTTGGAAAGTCTCACTAAAATGGCACCATCAAAGATGCATGTGTTGGAAGAAGGGAACAACAGCAAAAGAACAACAAAATTTAAGAGCCAATGAGTCAGTGAAAAGGCTTTTTAAAAATTCAGGTGAACATATGACTAAGAGCCCCTCAAATGCCATTGCAGCCTATGGCAGTATTTTTAATAAGATTTTATTAAAGTTTTATAAGTTATTTTAACAAGACAGGAAAAAACTTAAGACTTAAAACTATTGGGTCACAGCAAGGTGGCTGTTGGAGTTTTGGACCACTTTATAATTAGCTGAAATCCAAATATGTTACAGTGCAGGCCGTTCACGTTGACAATGGTACTAACTTATTTCTCTAGAAACCTTTAGAGTAGATATATTTTTGTCAAAGCACCCCATTCTTCCTCAATTTAAATTTCAATATTGTTCCTGAAGATATTTCTGTATATTAATGGTACCTTTTTTAAAAGAAACAGAAAATTACTTTTTTCTATATGAATTAATATCTTACTTGATCTGCTTTTCCTTGACTTTCCCTTAGAGAGGGGGTAGGGTTGGGTCAGTTTACTGGATATGACTGTTTTCAGATACTTATAAACCTTTTTGTAGATATGCTTAATTTTTAAGCGATTAGGCACTGAGAGTAGCAGAAATCCTGCAAAGCTTTATAGTTCACTAGGCATTTGCCTTTGTTGGTTCTCTGAGTGACGTCTTGATTTCAGTAGCTAGAATTTTCCCTGAATCTACTAGAAGGGGTATCAGTATTTTCAGGTAACAAAGTCTGTTAGCACAACAAAAATTTCAGACCAATATCTTACTGTATTGGGGTTGGGTTTTTTTCCTTGTTTGTTTTGTTTTAATTTTTATTAATTTCAGCTGCTTTCATTTTGGAAAATCATATTGCTATTGTGTGTACTTCAGTATACCAGCAAACACTGTTACCCGTTAACACATTGTCCACAAATGCCTCTAGAGAAGAAATTGTTGCACCTTATGTATATCTCAAGCAAACCAAAATATGATGCTTTTCTGCTTTGTTTATTCTGAATATGTTGTATCATACTTTACTGAACCCGTTTTAACTTAGCTAAAGCTATCAATATTTATGCATTTCACATTATTTTCTGGATCTGAACCTGTGTATAAATCTTTCTTTAAAAAAAAAAAAAAAGAAAAGCAATTACCGTAGTCGTCCTCTATCACTTATCCATGGGAGTGGGGAATCTTGTCTCAAGTGTACAATGCAGTACTGTCCCAGTTTTCCTTAGTTTTTATTTATTTAGTGACCTTTGATACTTCATATATAGTTTCGAGGTATAGAGAATATATTGTCGTAACCGAAGCTACAGATCTAAGCAGCTGGGAGAAATTTACTGTAATGTCTTCTTAATTGTTCTAGTACTGTATATACATATGGGAAAAATGTTCTGCAGAACATTTGAGATGCAGATTCTTATCCCCACAGTAGGTTATTTTCCAGAGATTAGACCAAATCAATCAAAAACATCCACGGTGATTACTTCATGCTCTGCATATGGCAGGAATTTACCCCTTGAATGTGCTGTGATTTCAGAAATAGAATATATTTATTTAAGATGACTGAATGCTCTTTTATACTAATACAATATCCCAAAGTCATGAGCAAAGGATTTCTCGATAGTTTGGGTTTCTATTTTATAGCATTGGTGCATGACTTTTGACATCGAAGCGATGAGCGTTGTTGTTGGAAAGGGTCACAGGAGCAAGGGACAGGTAGAAGCACGTGAACTGGTGTGCAGGTTGCACCGCTGGTCTTCACTGTTGGGGTGAAGGAGACCTGTGTAGCACCAGGCTGAGGAGCACTCTGCAGCCTGTGTCGAGTAGAAACCCGAGGGAGGTGTAACAGGGAATGCCTTACAGTTTGGATGCCATCTTTTGGAACAGGATATTAAATTGAAGCAGTTTCACTTTCTGCTGCCTTTTTAGCTACTGTACAAATACTGGAGCAGGCTGAAGGCTACGGTTGTAGACATGGGACAGCAAGGAGGGGGTACAAGGAAAGCTGGCCTTTGTTCTCAGTAGGGTGAAGTTGTGGCAACAAAGGGGAGTTAGGAAAAGATATATATGGTGTGTGTGCGTGCGTGTGTGTATGTTCTGCAACATAAAAAAAAAAAAAAAAAAAAAAAACAGTAGAAAAGACAGAAACATCACGGGTCTACAAGAGCCTATAATGTATGCTGTTTCTTTGAGTGCACTCCTGTTTTTGAATGCTGAGTGTAATATGGCTACCTCTCCTAAAAGACTACTTTCGCTAACTTCCACTTGCTTTCAGGCTTGATCATGTAATCTTTTCAGCCACTGATACCATTTGTATATCGCTGTATGCTTTACTTCCCCAAAGCAACGTCTATACAGAGCTGACAACGCAAGGCTGAATATACAGTGGTAGCCAAACTGTGTTGCTGGAGCACTTTTGTTTAACCTCTGCCATAGTCATATGGGTTGCAGGACACGGGCCCGCTAGTTGGCTCAGCGGGATGGGGCTTTGTAACAGCAGAAATGAAGTGCTGGTCGGGTGGTGAACTTCAGATATTCCCGGTGGTCACGCAGTAAGCCACATGCTGCTCTTGAAAATTATTCTGGAGTTTACGTTTGCAATCCTAATTCCACGAGGAAACATAACTGTGCAACTTTTGTGTTGTATACCGTACATCATCCCCTAGATGCTGTTTGTTTGCCGTGCTTGTTTACTAGATCGTAGAGTTCATAGGTCTGTTTGCCATGTTTTGTACTATTTGTGGCATTCTCCTTACCTTGTACATATTGTGGAGCTACCATCCAAGGCTGCCAGAACGCTGAGTCACTTTCAGGACACTGAGAACCGCGAATGAGTGCATTTAGGCTGTGAAAGAGTTTTTTGCCTCCTCCCCTGTATTTCCCAATTAAAAGGCGCAGTGAGGTTTATTCTCTCACCTAACTACTATTATAATCACTTATATACTCAGTATTTTCTACTGAATGGACAACTTTGAAGAAGCTTATCAAATGGATGTATATTTTATGTTCTCCCACTGATTCTTCTAAGACAGACACCTAGGAAGAGCTGACTTGAGATCTCCACTCAGCAACACACCTAAGCTTACGCTTAAAACCATCCTTACTTGAGGGGTAGCGTTGTTGTTTGCACTGTGGCAGTGCAGGAGCCCCGATTATGGACCACTGTGCTCTCAGAGTTGAGCTTGGGCTTGCGTGGTGTTTCTGGCTGAGGCGTGATATTTTGACCTAGGGTCTTCACTGGCACGGAGTTTTAAAGCACATGCAATAGCGGAACACTTGTTGAGTTCTTCCAAAGAATTATATTGTCATTTCTGGGTCCTGACTGTTACGGTATGCCAGCAGACCCACACTGTACTCTACTGGAAAAAATACATCTGCTGACACAATGTACAGGCTAACTAACTGGGCTTCTGAATGTAGTGGTCTAATCTGATCTTCTAACCCATACAACTGAAACTTTATTTTCTCCCATGCACTGCAACACTTTGATCCGTGGTTTGGAGGTGACAAAAGAGAGAGAGAGATGTGTGTCCGTGTATGTGTATGCACGTGCACACACACACACATTAGTGTGCAAGGACTTGCAAGACGTTACCTCTATAAATGCATTCCCACCTCAGTTCATAAAACAACACGAGGTTTCTCAGACAACAGTTTTCAAACTTTCTTGGTAGATTTCATTCTCTTCCTTTCACATTACGCCATAAGGTGTGATTTCAGAAATGTCTGAAGAAAGTTCAGACGCTGTGAAAACCTTCTTCCTCAGCAGTGCTTGCTTTCCATCACCAGTCTGTGTTCACAGCTCTAACACAACTGATTTGCTCTGATCTCTCTTCCTAGGGCCCAATCCTTCAACTTTTACTCTCATACATAATTCCACTAAATTTTGACCCAGTATTTGGCTTTATTCTTTCCAAAGCTTGGTGTAAACATGCCTTATAATAGTTTATCTCCATAAGTGGTATAACGGAGCTACTGCCTTCTTAGATGTGTGTAGTTAAAAGTCAATAAGCACATTTATAAAATGTCATGCTTTCTTCAAAACCTCTATCTAATTTGATATTTTTAAGTGCACATGTTAAGTCATGTGTATAACATGCTAAAATACATTAAACTGTGATCAAGAAACTGAATAAAATATTTAATAAAATATTTGAAATATTTGAAAAGGACCTTCAAATAGATCTCTTTATGTTCATTCTATTTTGGTTATCTAGTGTGTGCCTGTAAACAGTTTCCCACTTAAAACTAATGATTGCAAATAAATACTATTAAAACAGAGCTTCTTTGATACTTCACCTGCTTTACTATCAAGCGATTGTTTACTTTACCATATGGCTGAGTTAATAGTATTTGCAGAATTTGTTTTTAGCTAGAGTATGAATTTGTTGGGTTTTTGTTTTGTTTTGTTTTCTTTTCTTTTATACTTAAAAAGAAACAAGCTCATTTCCCACCTGGAAATGGAAGATGCCAAAAACCAGAGGAGAATCCTCAGAACTGTAAGCTGTAGTTTCCCGTCAGATCATCCATTCAAATCCACATGACAATAAAAACGCTGCGTATTTTACAAAGGACCTATGCCCCTTTATTCTTGCTTAAACATGGGAGCTTCCATTTTATTTGTTTTAAATTCTGAGCTTGGTTCAGCACTTTGTGACATTGTTGGAAAGATCCACAGACAAATAGTGCCACAGAATTCATTGGATTTATACTGGCATAAAGCTGGAGATTGTGGAATAGGGAGAGACAGGACTCAGTGTAGTTAGGCTGTGGGAAAAGCGTTTGCCTTTTCTTCTAAGCTTTCCAGGTTTCCACTTTGTGTTTCTGGATTTTTTCTTCACGCAATTGGAAAGCTCATTTATAGCCCACACAAGTATAAATGAAGTCATCTCACATAAAGAAGTCCTTGCTACATTTTCGGTCTTTGGACACGAAGAGAACTTCCTCAGAAATGTCTTCTGTTTTAGAAATAAGTAGTATACATCATCAGTATTTAAACTTAAAGGTCCCCACTGCTTTGGAAACTTGTTTAACTAGGCCTTTGTTCTACCCCTATGTTTTACCTTTCTTTGTTTAGGCTGGAAAATTAGACTGTGGGAGATCTTGTCTTTTCCTGTCCTTGGACACCTGAAGATTGCTTGATTGCAAGGATCACAAGAAGACCCAAGTACAGCCTGCACGAAACCAGTAGAAACCAGTTGTTCATCTGGGAGCAGAACTCGTCTCTGAGTCAAAAGTAGCAGAAGGGAAGCCTTTACCCTTTGGTTTGTTCGGTTTGCTTTTTTTTTTTTTTTTTTTTTCCTGCCAATTGTGTGCCATTTACTCAGGGAAGAAGAAATGTATGCAATCTTGCACTGCCTTTACTGGGTATGCATCAGTGGTCTGCAGAGAAATACCAGGAATGGAGGAGCTTCAGCATTAGCCATGCAGTGATCATACCTGGGGAAGGGAGAGAAGAGCTCTGATGCAGCAAGAAAAGAAAGCTGCAAGAAATCTCTCAAGTAAAGATACTCTCTCAGTATAGTATGCCCAGTCAGGGACATTGAAGTCACTTTTTTTTTTTTTAATTACCAAATTACCTTAAAAGTTAGTCATTTTCAATATTCAAACTCCCACCTTTTTTTAATCTGCTCTCATTTTGTTCTTCCAACAAAGCATCTGCATAATGCAGCTCACTCCCAGCACATCCAGATCTGGTTTGTTACCCAGCTCTCGTGTGGCTTCTTGCAGCTGCAAGGCATTGCACTGGCACTCTTTTACCTGTCAGGTGAGACCAGTTTCCACTTGGAGGCGCAGGGCAGAAAGATATCCTCCTCCTCCTAAGGCGGCGTGCTTCTGCCAGGCATTACAACATTCTCCATAGATTCTATTTGTTAGATTATTACCATTTTTCATCACATTTTTTTAACGTGCAGCTAATCCTGCTCTGAAGCAGACCTCTTTTTTTTTTTTTTAAGTGTGAAAATATTAAGTGAGGCACAAATTATACTTGAGCATAGCATAACCATTACATAGCGCGTGGAACTGCCGGTTCTTCAGGAGGACACTAGCACTTTGTAACAAAATACGAGATAACGTTTCTATATCTGCTGCAAAGTTATGTTTTGTTTTGTTTTCAAAAATAAAACCTGTAAGATATAACGCCTACCATCTATTCAGTGTGAACTTCTTTTTGTGGACTGTTCCTGGCACAGAAACAGTAAGAAACTGAGCTCTAATACAGTTGCACTTAAAATGTGCTCTAGATTTCAGCTGCCCTTCATTAGTTACTGCCTGGCAAGGGAAGGTGTGTTAGATCTTCAGCAGAAGTAAATTAGCACAGGATGTACCTGTCTGTACCCCAGCTGAAACTCTGGTTGAAAATCCAGCCTATATAAATCAATACCAAAAGTTTGTTCCATACAAATAAATAATTCAGCCTATTTGTTGACCTGTGAAACAAGAGGAACTAGTTGAAATAGGCCCCAAAATCAAACCACTTACATTGGCAAAAAATGTGTTTTGCTAAATGCAAACACCTGGTACTTTAATTCAGTCTGTCTGCATGGCTTACAGGAAGATGTCTTCCGGGTTTTCTCATTCCTTTCTGAGGCCGAGGCTGTCCCCACAGGAGTTTGTTAACATGCTATGGAGGCACTTGGTGGCTCTGCCCTCAGAGGTCCTGTGCAGCCATGGATAACCCTAAGCTCTCCCAGGCATATTCCCAGGAGATGTCCTGATCTAAAAGAAGCATTTGGAGCCTATCTTAATGTAAGATACTGCGTGTATGGCCCACCCAAGGCTTCCTGCTCACGGCAGGCCATCAGGCTCAGGTCAGGTCATTCTGAGACTCGGTTACCTTCCTGCCGAGCCCTGGAGGAGTTACCTAGTTAGTCTGTAGTTACCTAGTCAGCACCTGGAGGTATGACTGGTGTTTTCACCTCAGGCTTTCCAAGTACAAAGAACAGCGATTCCTTGATGTCTTCCTGACTGGACTCTTAAAACCATACTGCTGCTGGAGGTCTCGGCAGCGTGTTGCCAGAAGTTTCAAGGCCTAATATCTCAGATAGAAACGTCTGAAAGTTTCCTGTGAGGGTATTTCTGTTCCAGATGGGACCCTCCAAATACTGCTGTCGTATCACTGTGGTTTAATGAAAACATCTCACGGGAGTTAAATTGACAGTCAGATGCTCATAGTCTGTCAGTGGTGTAAGGCACTAACTTCTGGTGCCCAGTGATACTGCTCTTGGATGCCACCCGGGCTGCCTGCAGGGCTAGCTCTGAGCCATGCACGTTATGCTAAATCCAGGGCCTCGAGTTAATGTAATTTTCAGTCTTGCAAAGCTACTGACCTCGGTGGCAGCTTGGGATGAGTTACAGGGCCTCAGGGCCTACCCTGCCTTGAGTCATCAGGCTTGCAGCAGGCCATCGCCTGGGTAAGGCTGATACCATCTGAAGGAACCTTCTGCCTGGTTAGGCTCTCGCCAGCTCGCTCTCAGCACCCTTTCTTCCCCTCGGGCAGGCCCTACAGGGGCTCTGAATTGCAGAGTCTGTCTCGAAGCAGGGCTCTGGCAGTGGGAGGCTCTTGCCTTGAGAGGCTGCCCCAACAGCTCAGCCCTGCAAACCTCGCAGCCCTCTCAGGACAGCTGAGCGTTTCAGTGCCACCACAGCTTCGTGCCAGCAGCTGGGATGCCTTCTTGCCTGCAGCTGCTCTGACAGATACATTTTTCTGTCAAAACCAAATGAAACAAACCTAGCCGGGAACCAGATGGAAACATCAGCCCTTCGTGAGCAGCCAGGTGTCAGCAGGCAGTAGTTGGAGAGCCACCGGCGCAACGCGTACTCAGTCAGAGCAGCGATGTGAACTGTCTGCGGAGACTGACAGGGTACTGCAACAAGGCGAGCCTCTGTTTTGGCTTGGAGAGCAGTGTTTTCTGTAGGAAGTAAGGAGTCAGGCAAATCACCATCGCAGCAGATGGGTTACTGTCTTCAAGAAGTTCACTTTTCAAGAGTGAGATTTGCCAGAAATTGAAACTCTAGCCCGTGGCTTAGAACGGATGCCATGTTTTGCTTCGGTGACTGTAGTGATGATTTTTTGGTCAGAAGGAATGCGTGAGCTACTTGGGAGGTGATGCAGTTTCAAAGCATCCTGGTAGCTGCTAGATGACAGATGCATTTGGCACATGGCACAAGTGTTGATAACAAACGTTTCTCTGTATGCACTTCATAATAATGCCAAGTGTTTGCCATTATTTTAATCAGTACTTAAGCATATTCTTCCTGCTGTGTTTCAAGAAAATATATTGCAATTGGCTGTCATGAGGCATAGTTTTACTCTGGAAAGGAATGTGTGGAAGCTTTCGGTGTGTGACTGTTTCATCTTGGTACATTATTTTTTCCAAAGCATCTTTACTAGTAACTCTCTGTAGTGTGCCATATTTAGGATATAGTTAATTCAGCTCTGGAATCAAGCCTTTTAAACGGAAGATATGCTTAATTTTCATGCAGAAATCCACACTGGCAATGATCTCAGACAATGTATGGCATACAAGAAGTACGACTGCAGATCGCTGGGCCAGGCTGTCTGTTGGCAGGTATCAGCACAGGTTCACAGCCTAATTGTGCTAACTTCCATGAGGGGAAAACAAAAGAGCCTATGGTTTACACATAAGGACAGCTGTATTTAAAACCACTTTGATTCACTGAGTCCAACACGTTGTCACTGGCACCGTGTGCTCTGGCCAGAGGAAGTTTGAGGGTTGCAGTGGCGGGAGGCTCTGTTGCTGTGCTTCCTGTCTCTAGCACGCACTTCTTGTTGGTTTTCCGCAGCTGAGGACTTTTAACTTATTACTGGACCTAGGGATGGTCACAGGCTCCTAGGCTGGTCCCAGTTTGGGTACAGTGATGTGTGGTCTGCTAGGATCACACCATGACACGCGCAGCAGCCCGACGGTAGATGTGAGGCAGGACGGTGACAGCCAGCAGTGCCACAGCACCCCAAGACTGCCACATTGGTGTGTCCAGTGTAGATACCACCTGCTTCAGAGGACACAATGTGTTTTTTATCACAGCAGCACTGGTAAGCCTGAGCGCAGCACTTGGACAGACCTTGTCCTGCTCAGCACTGAGGAGCACACCTGAAGAGGACGGTCTGTCCTCAGGGCACTACGGCTTCCCTGGGTCCAGGCTGTGTGAGCAGCAGAAACACAGGGCGCTCATTAGAAGTCCTGATAAAAGTGAAGCAGAATTTTGCTCAGGCACAGCCCTAGAAGCATAACGATGCGATCCATCCAGTCTTTTATGGCACTTCCATAAAAATTGCATGGAACGCCTCTTGTTTACTGGCAGGAGTTCTGACAGCTGCACGGCGCGCTCAGTGTGTGCTGTGCACTTGGTTATTCATAAAGGAGCGAGCAGAAGGAATATTTATTTTTTATAGATCTCTCAATCTAGCTGATGGCAAAATGTACCTGGCTTACCTTGGTCATCAGGTGCCCAGAAGAACAAAAACCTCCAGGTTATCTGTAGGGCTGTGTCCTTATTTTGGCATTTTGGAGCAGTATATATGCAGATGCATTTTTAAAATAACAAATTTGTGTGTTGTATGCATGGTACATGTTTCATGTACAAGAATCATGAAAACACCATAATGTAATACAGTAAATGGAAAAGCAGCAGATACATATTCACAGACTCTGTTAATATGCAGCTAGTTTTAAAAAAAACACTAGGCAAAAAATAAGCATGTGCTGTTCCACCTCAGCAAAGCAATTCTGTAATTGACACTTAAGGGTGGCCATCAGGGATTTAAAAGCATCTTTAATAATAAGACAAAACTATATTCTTAAATAAAAATTCTGAGAATTCAGAAAGTACCTCCAAATGCTTTGCAGGAACAGTAATTTTTTTTACTATTTTTGACTTTAAAAACAAAACCGCAGAAATGCAGTTAGAATAACAATCCTCAAGCCAATACAGAATGGCAGAAAATCTCTTAGAAGATGGGGTTCTATTTATCTTACTGGAAGTTGGGCATGTCAAGCTTCACTTTAGGAATTTCTCACCTTCCCTTTCAGTCATCTTGCCTTTCCCCTCTTTTTTTTTTTTTTTTTCACTCGTGTGGCTTAAAACTTGATTGACATGAATTTCAAACCTCCCACTTATTTTTGGTAGGATGGGAGCTGTCTCAGACCTTCCTGAGCTGTTTCACAGCTCTGAAAAATCT